GGAAAGCCATAAAACTCTTGAGCAAAAGCTCATCTTTCAAACCGGCAGTCTAAATCCCACAGGGATCAACGAACGCTTTTCATTCCACTAATTTATTCGTGTTTTTTGCGTTGCCATGTTCTCACCAATAACGTAGCTCCATTTTCTGCCTTAAAAAGCACACACAACCCACAATTCCTCTATTTGCTCCGACGAAGGGCTAACGCTCGAAACGTCAGCTTTTGTAATCGTTACGGTGGCCAATTTACCATTTCAACTTTGTTGATACTATCCAAATTATTTCGTTACCCCCACCGACGCAGCCCCAAACAGTTTCTTTAGAAACTATCAGCCTTTATACTGGTATAGTTATGCTTATCTGAAATAAAGGCCCTAGGCTTTAAGTTCAGTCTTTTTGTTACACACTTAAAAAGGGTAACTAATAATCATTTTAAGTACACGTCTGCAGCTTAGTAATCAAATGATCACCTCAGTAATGTGTGCATCCAAGGTCGCCTTCTCCACAGTTGGTTCATCATCATCAAAGTGAGATAGATCGGTACTTCCACTCTATAATGGCACAGAAAAGGAAACTCATAACAAAAAAACACCTCCATATAGTTAAACGGTTAAAAAATTCTGCAGTAATTAGACTCTTTAAAGAGTTTAGGTCAGCTACCTCGTAAGAACGATTCTCATGAAACCTCGAAAATTTGGCAGCCATTTTGACACAGGAAAGAACGCATGCCTTATGATGGACTCGCCGCAGTCCAATCGGTCAGAAATGCTCTGGCATCGACCGCAATTTGCATATCGAGAGGAAATATTTCCCCATTTCTGCCGAGTTTATTTGCGGTTAGCTGATAGTGTTATACATTTTCCTACTATATGATTTCAATATTTGTTTATGAATGAATAAGTGATTTGTCGAGACAGGCAGTAGGCATGATTCTAACAGGAACTAAAATTCTAAATTTTGCAGATAACCGTAAAATAATTTGCAAATGTTAAAGGAACAAAACCAAATAAGAGTTATATTGGTCGCAAATCTATGTTCACCTTTAATATATTTCTGCCTATCACACGTTATACTCGCTCTACTGTGTGTATCGAACACTGTTTTACAGATATCAAGATTAACCCTTCTATATATATATATATGTCATATATATAGAAATAATAAAATCAACAACGAAACAAAGTTTCCGTCATCTGATGCCCGATATATTCTGTACGATTTCGATATTTGAGCGTGTGACGCCGTCAGAGCCGTCACAACAGAGGGTAGACTGGGCTTGACTCATTCATCAGACTGTTAAGGATACTCAAACGATTGACTGAACTTGACTCATTCATCAGACTGACTTTTAAGGATACTCAAACGATTCATTTAGCCTAAGTCGAATTTGACCGAATTTGATTTCTTTGTTACGAATTATTTTAGTTACGGATGTGGTTACGTTGTTGTCTATTTTCTATTGGTGTGTAATCAGATATGTATATAGGATATTTATAGGAATTATTTTTGTTATTTTTTTAAATTTCGATTTATTTCTCATTTTTCTTTTTAAAATAAAAGCGAGTGAAAGTAAAATGTAAAATAGAAATAAAATGAAACCAAAGATAAATGAAATCAAATCAAAATTAAATACTACCCGGCCGAGCGCTGCCACTAGATTTTTTCTTTTTTTTTTAGCGGTCAGGAAAAAAAATTTTTTTCGTGGCCGAACGCTGCCACATGGCCGAGCGCTGCTAAACAAACCCAGAATGCACTACCATCAAAAAGTTCACGAGAAGCAATTTCTGGGTCGAATAATTCATACCCATGTCCTTGTATGTCTAGCAGCATGGGTTTTTTGTCTGACTTTTCATAAGAAAAATGGGTTAGGCATTGAGCCTTCTGACCCATAACATCTGTTTCCTCGACGCAACAATCACCAGTATTGTTTAAGTACTTGGTAAACTGTCCATCAATAATCTCCTCCACAGTCACAAATTCTCCTTTATCATCTTCACCGTAGTAGATCTTTCTATACCTTAGGACCTCTCCAAATGCATGTTTTCCAATGATTTTCCAACTGGCGAGCAAAATTCCTTGCAAGAAGATGCATCAGAACCGCCTTTTCGGTGTGTTGTTGGATAGTTTTCCCAATGTCATTTATTCCCTTCACAGCATCAGGAAGGTATCTTTTAATTACCCAGGTAGTCCCCTTGAACTGTGGGTGCTTTGTGGTTTCTTTGTATGCATTGCGAAACCCACCGTGAGCAAACGGCTCTTATTCTTCGTTGAATTCGACGGTTATTATTATACAGCTCCTTTCCTTTAATTAATTTATGCATTGTATCTCCTGCATCACGCTTCTTCCCTCTTTTCGCAGTCACTTTCTCTTTTAAGTTTTCCACGCGGCATCCGCCATACTAGAGTCTTGAAAGGCATCCTGCAAAGAACTCTGGGTTTGTTTGGCAGCCCTCGGCCATGTGGCAGCGTTCGGCCACGAACAAATTTTTTGTTTTTTCTGACCGCGAAAAAAAGAAAAAAAAAAACTAGTGGCAGCGCTCGGCCGGGTAGTATTTTATTTTGATTTGATTTATCTTTGGTTTCATTTTATTTCTATTTCACATTTTACTTTCCCTTGCTTTTATTTTAAAAAGAAAAATGAGAAATAAATCGAAATTAAAAAAAATATGACAAAAATAATTCCTATAAATTTGAATATTTTTAATGGCAGTTCTCGGCCGCCATAGATATGTTGACGTCCCCACGCGCGTATAAAAGCCTCGTTTAGCGTCCCTTTAGCTATTGTATGATTGTATTTCACCTTGTCCATTTGCCTATTTGTTCTACTCGCCGATTTTGGTTCCTAACCTTTGGTTAAAGCGGTACCGATATGTGAGTAATTTTGCTATTTTCCTCCTTTGTTTAATTTATTTTTGATGGAAGCACGCTAATGTACAAAGTTGTACAATAGTACTTTATTAGGGAGTTTAGGCACATCACTAGGGAGTTTAAGCAAATCACTACGGCTGGCGCTGCTACGGCTACCGGAAGTAAAATTGTCCAGAAACGAGTCATTGCGCATGTCAGTGGTACCCATCCAGCAGTGGCGGGAAATCCTTCTACGCGAGTGGGAAGGTTTCGGCGTAGTCGTGGTACGTGAACTTATCTCGCTTCTTTCTTCGCTGTCCAGAAACGAGTCATTGCGCATGTCAGTGGTTCCCATCCAGCCGTAGCGGGAAATCGTTCTACGCGAGTGGGAAGGTTTCGGCGTAGTCCGTGGTACGTGAACTTATCTCGCTTCTTTCTTCGCTTTATACATTCTCCTGAGCAATTTTAACTATTGAAATACACTTAACATCTTTAAAAATAGTTTATCGG